GTTGACTACAGTCGTTGACTACAGTCGTTGACTACAGTCGTTGACTACAGTTGTTGACTACAGTCGTTGACTACAGTCGTCGACTACAGTCATTGACTACAGTCGTTGACTACAGTCGTCGACTACAGTCATTGACTACAGTCATTGACTACAGTCGTTGACTACAGTCGTTGAGTACAGTCGTTGACTACAGTCGTTGAGTATAATACTCAGTTACTGTAGTAGCTTAGTTATTAAGGTTTTATAAAAATAAATGATTAAAACAAAATATATTAATTAAATACAATTTTTACAAATTTTACCCAAAAGTATGCAACGATTTTTAGCCGGTAATTTAATTTATTTATCCGTCAGTTCCAAAATTCGGCAGAGCATAATTTTGTGCAAAAATCGGAGACCAGAAACTCATGAAATTTCTTTTCAAAATTTGTTTTAATATTGGATAGTTAAATAATACAATGGAATCTATTAATTAAGACTACGACTTCAGTGGGGTCTTGCATCTCGAACTCCATAAATTATATTTAATATTTATGAACTTATCGAGTTGAATGTCATAAGTCATAAAATTCTGTTAGTTTGCAACACTAAGCCTATTGGCCTGTTGGATTTCAGTATAAATGTAGGTAGAATATATAAAAGATCAGAGCTGTGCAGGCCAGATAAGATCGTAAGCCAATTCAAATCACTGAATAGGTTGGAGGGATGCAAAAAATTAATACATATTTGCATTACTTTACCGAAGAAAAATATAAATACGCCATACAAATTAATGTTAAATTTAGTTTTATAAATTCTTTATTAATTTATCTTTTATAAATCTATCCATACCAACATTAATGACTTACGACACTGGGTAAGCCGTTTCTCAACCAGTTGTAGAGATAAATATACTTAAGTCTTTGTCCATTAAGTAAATAAATGGGAAGTGTAAAAAATTATTCAAAACATTTTTATTAATTTATTTGTGATAATATAAAAATAAAATAATATAGTCACCAAAATATAACAAAGAAAAATGTGCTTAATTGTGATAGAGCCGCATAAGATCCGTGGACCGTGCTTTGGACAGATTATAAATAGATGAAAAAGTATAGTAAGGGTTAAATTATTACTTAATTTTGTTTTTGGAAGGAACTAAATTTGTTTACATAAATAAATTGAAAATTGAAGATTGAATACTTTATAAAGCACCACAAATAATATTAAAAATAACGTTTTACAGAACATGGACTGACATCTCGAGATTTTTTACAAAAGTATATAAATAGTCATAGCTGTAGAAAACTATGATAATGGATGAAAATCTAAAAGTGTGTAATAAATTAAATATAAATAAATAAATTTTGTGAATATTAACAAACCCGATAGTCGAAGTATTAAGCTCTATTGGTATATAGCCTAGCAAAAAAAAATATATTTAATATTTAATAATTTTCATATTTAATAAGACAAACTTTATGAACCTAAAATTGCACTTTCATATTAACTATGATAATTCAATTAAAAAGCTGTTAATTTTCTTTTCTGTAGAGTAATACCAGTATCTGGTGTTTTTCAAATATATATATATAGACATCAGCATCATTTTAAAGTCAACAAAGTCAGAATTCCTATCCAACTCAGACTGCAGATACTCTAGAGAAGAGAGAGAAACCGCATAACATGTGCTAGGGGAGTACCTAGCATTGATGCACAAGCGGAATAAATACCTTGGATGGTATTTAATGAAACATAAGGATTCAAGACTTGGAAAAATATCCCCATACAGTCTTCTATTAAAGAAAACGGGCTTGGATAAACACTTTTATCCGACTAAAGAGCACAATAGATCATTCAGGTCGTAGTGTACTACCATTTGTTTCATAATAATATTATTAATTATCATATAAAAGTCTTATAGATTAGCATTGAAACGTAGCTAGTTAAAGAATTTGTTCGTTTCGGTTGCCATTGTTCTCTGCCAAGTGGTTTTGGGATGACATCGTCTCCTTACTTCTTGCGGGCTTTATTTCATAGCTGCGCGTGGCGAGCCAGCCATATATTCATTTCTGAATTTCCTTTTCAATTGCCTTTTATTTGGCGTGTCACCATAGCTGTTCGTTGAAGACTATTGCAGGCCACCATATGTTTAAAATACGTCGCAAGCTTCTATTAACGAAGGTTTGTAACTTCTGAACCGACGCACCCGAGGAACTAATTTTATCATAGATGTTAAACTGGCAGTTCCACATGGCTCAAGTATTTTCCATGTGTTTATGGCAAGTTAAAAAAAGTCGAAATAAGTACTTTTTATGCATCGGTACCGCCAGGGATACATCCAAGGAAGCACCAGTGGCGGCTATATTCTCAGATTTTCGTTCCCTTCGATGTTAAGTCAGTTAGTCATTTTTTTTAGGTTTACAAAAATCAGTACTTCGGAAAGAATTAGTTAAAAATAACTGTGTACAGTTATTCACACTAAATTATTTTTAAACAGACACGACAAAAACTTTTACATAAAACTAAAACTAATTAAAATATTTTATGTATTATATTTTTTTAAGCATATTATTATTTATATGAAATAATTTCTAAATTGTTTATATATTTAAAATAAATAAATTTTATATTATAAAATCAAAAAACATTTTATTTAATAATTAATTGCTTATATTTTCTTAAACTTTCTACAAAGTCGCAGGCTATTAAACTTTTTACCGGGCAAATGGTTTCTGTCCATGCTATTTGCGTGCAACAAACGAAGGCGTAATGCGGCTTGCTAGTCAACACTAGATGTCACCTCCTCATGCTTCTCAGACTTATATACAAGCACTGCAGTTAACTTGAAATGCCTTTTATTAACAATAAATTTGTATTTCATTCTTATTTCTGGATTAGAATATAAAATATATATTATAAAAAATGTATAAAAAAAAATAAATTTAAAAACAACAGGCAATTGAAGTACTTAGCGTAGTTAGCAAAAATACCTAAAACTCAATAGCCACATCAGGTTTTATGGAAATTGTATTGGAAGAGCTCAACCCTTGGTGCTTACCATCTCAAAAGAAGAATTATTTACAAATAATTAAACACAAGAAATAATAATAAAAACAAGAAATATTTCTTGTAATATATTATTCGTATATAATTCCGCGTCCACTCGAAACAGCTGTATAGTCAGCCGAAAATTCAATTAATTAAAATAATAAATAAAGTTTTGTTGTTGTAGTTCACTACAGTTCGAAGCCTCTCTAGGAAATAAATTACTCTCTAGGAAATAAATAAATAAAATAAATAATTATAACAAAATAATTATAATAATTTCATTTGTATTATAATGTAAAAATAGCTAATAAAATAACTTTTAATTTCGCAGGAGCAGGTATATATATAATAAATATACTTGGTAAGATTATTGCTCTAAAATAAAATAATGAAATAGAGATAATAATTAAAACTGATAAACTAAGCCCTAAGTACTAGGGGAAGATAATATTTCCATAGAGTTTCCATAGAGAGAAATATAAAATTGTGTCGAAAAGTTGACTTTAGTTTTTATTAAATCGATTGACAGAGTAACCTATATAGATAATAAAAGATGGGAGATAAGGAGAAGTCTTTTATTATTTCAGCCGTGGAAATAAGGCGAGGAGAACTTATTTCTTTGAGGTACTTTTTTTTCTGCACAATTTTGGGATATAGTTTATAGATATCTTTATTTTAATGGTTTGTTTTTTATGCAACGTCTTATAAAATTCTATCAAATACATATTTTATAAAAAAAAGAAATCGTTCAAATATAATTAATTATAATAACATTCATTTCCTAAACGCTATTGAGAATTTGTTTGAATGATCACTTTTTGAGAGGGTAATAAGTTGGGTGAAAAGTCAAGTGAATAGGAATAATTTATAGTGGCCGATAACAAGTTATGTGAAATAAATATATCTACAACTAAAAGATTTTCGGGACGATTTTGACTTTCCTGACAAAAATTGAAATCAAAATGAGAACGAATGTTTGTAAAGACAGCTTTTTTAATAACTTTTTCTACAGGTCAATATAGCTTAGTTGTCAAGATATGGAGACACAATTTATGTTTACTGATGATATTCGCATCATGCACCGCAATTAAAACGCGTAGTTCATTATAAAAAGTTTTATAAATGATAACAAATTTATTAAATGTATGCTTATAGATGAGATAATGTCATATTTCGACAAGTGGAAAATTAAAGTCCATCACCAAAAACCTGCTAATAAATAATTCCTTCATTGACAAAGTTAAATATCTTTGACAGTTACATGAGGAAAATTTTTTTAAGGATAACTATGTACGTGAGATGAAGCTTGCAGACCAATTAGAACTCAGGACGCTAAGGCTTTTACGAGACAAGAAAATCAGTATCAAGAAGCAGGGTAATACGTAAATAGATAATCGAGCCCAGCTTACTAAATGCTATGCAGCGTCTGAAATTTTACTTCAAACAAATCGTATCAAAATATAGTTCAAAAAAGATTTGTAATGGTGCAGTGGTATAAATAGACTACGGATGGACATTTATAAGGATATGAAAGTTGAAAGCATTAAAACATAAATTAAGGTCAGAGCACTCAAACTCCTTGTTACTATGAATATTCACCAGAATACAGATATTCGTTAGATAAGTTATAGTAGGCATTATAGTTAAGACCACATCTATACTTACTAGTGCGTCTATACCTACTAGTACCTACTAGTACAAGTGAGTTTAAAAAAAATGAGAATAAAAATAGATTAAACAGTAACTCCAGAAAAACACAAAGATGTAAATGACGGTTAACAAATAGATGCGCGAAACGGGTATATCAAATGGGAATACTCGGAGAATCGGAATCGTGTCATATAGGTGTGCTTAACTAATGGCTGTTAATATATGGCTGTTTTGTATCTATTTTTAATTAGCCATTAACAGCCTTTTAATTAATAGACCGTAATATGATATATAACAGCACTGAATAAAAAGCGTGAGGATATTTTTATTTCTCAGTTTATTATTTCGAAACTTATAATATACGTCCATCGGAAAAAAGAAGAAAAACCCGTGGAAACTCAAAAATATAAAAATCAACAAACTTTAAAACTTTTCATTGTTCAACGCAAATCCAATCCTTTACCAAAATTTTAATCGGTTTTCTGGAACCTGTCCGACATTTGGATCTAAAAATATTTACTAATTTTAATCCACCAACCATTCATTTCTAAGAACAAACAAAATTCACCTTCCTTTCCTGGGTTTGGAACTAATTTGGATTTTGAATTTTCTTCTTTTTGAGATGAGTTTTTAGATTCGTGACAGCTATAGTTTTAAAAGATATTTTAAATCAAAAAACGTTAAATTAAATTATTTTTATACTTTAAGAAAAACTTAGATTTCGCCTCCCCAAAATCACCAGTTGCGGGAGGACATTGTGGAGGTGCAAGTAATAACCTTACAATGTGTGCAGTATGTGGATCATTCAGTCCGTTCTTCAAGCAAGCATCTTGGATTTGTTGCAATTTCTGCATATAGAAACGTTCCTCTTCTGCAAGTGAGTTTATAGCGGATCCCATCATTTGAAAATCTTGCTGAATACTCTCATACTTTTCGGCAACTACATGGAGAGGTACGACTTCCTCATCATTTTCGTTTGATGACATTTTTTTAATCTCTTCTAATCTTTTCTAATATAGAGACAAACTACAAATTTCTAAAACAATTGTTTTAACTAAATTTTTTAACTCATTTCAAAATATTCTTTAACAAACAAAATAATTATTGCAATGATACTTAGATTGAATTTTTTCGAATTTAAAAAAAATTTTAACACTTCAAAAACTCTCATATTAACAGATGAGAGTTAGCAAATTAGCAAATTTTTTTAAAAAATACAAAAAGGTGTAAAACAAGGACAATTATATGTGTGTGAAGAATAAAAAAGGAGAGCATCAGGTGACAGCATTATAGTTGGAACATAGCAAAGTGAAAAATCTAGTCTTACAAAGCAAACACAATTCAGTCTAATCGAATTTTATAAATAGATAATTAATTATAAGAATATAGGTAAGCAAGAATAGGTGCTACGATGAAATTCGCAGGTCTCTGTGGCTACTGTTATTTCGGCTAAATTATCTTTGAGCAGCTAAATTACCTTTGAGCAACTGAATTATGTTCGAGAAGCTCAATCTTCTCTGAGCAGCTCAATCATCTTTGAGCAGCTCAACTATCTTTAAACAACTCAATTATCTTTGAGCAGCTTAAATATCTTTAAGCAACTAAATTATCTTTAAGGAGCTTAGTTGTCTTTGAGTAGCTTAAGTATTTTTGAGCACTCAATTATCATTAAACAACTTAATTGTCTCAATTTTTTAGCTTTGAGCAGCTCTATTGTATTTGAGGGGTTAAATTATCTTTGAGCAACTTAATTATTTTTAAGCAACTAAATTATCTTTGAAGAACTTAATTAAACTCTTTGACTAGCTTAATTATCTTTGATCAGCAAAATTACCTTAAAGTAGCCAAATTAACTTTGAGCACCTCAATTATTTTTGAGCTATAATGGGCTATTAACTATAAGCAGCTCGATTATCTTTAAGCAGCTCAATTCCTTTGAGCAGCTCGATTATCTTTAAGCAGCTCAATTACTTTGAGCATCTCAATTATTTTTGAGCAGCTCAATTATTTTGAGCAGCTCAATTACTTTGAGCAGCTCAATTACTTTGAGCAATTCAATTATTTTGAACAGCTCAATTTTCTTTAAGCAGCTCAATCATTTTTGCGCAGCTTCAATTTCTTTGGGCAGCTCATTTATCTCTGTGCAGCTCCATTTTCTTTGGGCAACTCATTTATCTTTGAGCAGTTTAATTATATTTGAGCTGCTGAATTATCTTTGAGCAGTTTCATTACCTAAGCGCAAGTTCTGTATACTCCAGATTGTGTTCTAATTATTTATTCATACCTTTTGTACATTCTATGTATAACTTCCCCAATCAGCTTAAGTAGACTTCGAAATTGTTCTGTAATATCAAAGTTTCTCAAATGAAAAATTGAAAAAGTTAACATTAATAGTTGTTAGCACAAAAATGTCCAAAAGGATTCCAAGTATCTTTACTTTGATAAAGTTTATTTGAAACATAAAAAAGCAACTTTTATGAGTAATTATTGGGAAGAGACCCAGCTAGAATTTTTAGAATAAAATTTCATCAAAAATTAATATGAGAAAAAAGAAAAAAACCTTTGCTGCTATTGCTTTTTTTCACTACTAGAAGTAAAATTATTGTCAGCGACAGAGATATTTTTTAATGCGTTTGAAGAAGAGTCCTTCCTTTCACCCTAAATTGGCAAAAGACGAAATTTCTGCTCAACCCAAGTTAAAATGATTTCATTTCCTATTCGGTTTCTTTGCCTACGAGAAAAATGACTTTCGCTATGTGAAGTAATAATTAAAAATCATTTTAATTTATTTTGAGCCTACAACTTCAAATTCTTTTTTAATCTAAAGTCAGTGAAACGTAAACCGAAAGTCATAGAAATAAATTGAAAACGCGAAAGTTCGAAATTTTGATTATTTTAATTGCAAATAAATTGAAATACCAAAAAGAATTCAAATAAATAAAATTAAATTAAATAGGATGAACATGGAAGAAATCAAAGCGCAATAGGTGAGAAATAATTTTAAAGAGTTTTAAGGACTCTTCAAAGCATAACATCCCATCATGAGGATATATATTGAGCTACTCTTGTACGCAAGAGTATTGATGTTAGAGGACATCAATAAAAGATATCCACAGGGTTTCTTATCCACAGCATTGACTTATTTCTGTATGTCCAATGATATATATAAAATAAATAAGTTATTAAATTTGGTATACACTGAATGTTTTATCTTCGGATATGTAAGTATTATATGACTTTCAAAATCGTTCATTAACATATAGAGTATAAAAAGCTTCTTTTGTCGTTCATACAGATCAATAAAGAAGCTACTCTTACCAGTAATCTACATTTCATTTTTGAGATGAGGTATCGTACTGACTACACTGACCACATTGTCTCCAGAAACGAAATTATTTATTAGAATGGAGAATGAGACTTCAAAAGCAAACGAATAGATTTCAAGCATCCACTATTTTAAATCAATTAGCTTGCTTATCATTAATATCTCATTTATTCTATTAATAAATATAAGCATATAATCCTGTTATCCCATTAAATCCTGCAATTAGATCTCTAGGCTAACCTGGTCTAAATTTGACAAAAAACGTAAAAGTCAGCTACTTCAACTAATGTGAAATCTGCTCAGCACTGTACTAACGGTACTGACGGTTCTCTGGGTAATAGGGAGGTATGATATGAGACTGTGTTTCAATCTTTGGGGCCCATTTTCTTACTGACCTGCCCGAGCTGTCTTATTGCAAAATAAAGGACTTAGCCAAATTCATACAAATGTCAAGTTGGTTTACCTTAATCTAATGGGATAATAGTTATAGTCAGATCTGAAGTCAGAAATTTGCGTTTCAGGAAGGTAGGAAGGTAGATAACCCCCTGAATCATATCGTATAATCAAGACATTAAAATAAATTTTTAATATGATAAGTATGTTTAACAAAGAACTAATCCCAAAAAAAACGAAAAAAAATAGCTATTTCTACGCCATCGACGTTTTATCTAACTACTATGGAGTAGTCAATATACATAGAAGTAGTAAATCTTGTAGCATTGTTGACAAGCAACTGACCAATTAGGACCCATACCAAAAACTTGTTACCTCTTTCGTTCAGTAACTGCAAAGAAGCAGAGGAAAAAAAGAACTGAACACTTTCTTTGGGCAACCTTTCAGAAATCTAAGGTATTCCTTTCGACCAGAAATGCAGTAGCTACAAGAAAGTAGAGAAAATAGATGCAACTAAAGAGTTTCTTTGCAATAAGCCAGATCTGAGCAGATCGAGATAGTCCATTAGGTGAGTTTATGAAATAATAAACATGTTGAGCATTCCAAACATAAATCTTCAAAAATGATTGCTTAATGGTTTTTGTCTAAGCGTTTTTCGGATAGAAGATAGAAAGATTAGAAGGATAGAAAACCAAGCAATGAACCTATGTCTACATTAGAAGAATACCAGTTTCTATTTAATAAATAAAAATTAAAATTTGACTTAATAAATGAATTATAGATTATAATAAGCTATGTGTTTTGCAGTATGGACAGAAATTTCTTATTAATAGAGGCAAACTTTGAGAGACTTTGGGACAATTGAAATTGATCCAATACACACTACAATATTATATCGCTCTCTTTTTTTTTTTTTGTCTAAATTATACATATTAACAATCTCAATGTTGTGATAGAAATTTGTTTAGGGAAAATGTTATAAGCTTTGATGGGTGTGACAACTGCTGCTGTCTCCGGTCTGGATGCTGCTGACATTGTTGCATATATATGTGTTCCAAAAGTGCACGCTTTCCCATGTGCTCCCCTTAAAAAAAAAATTATTTTTTTTTTTTTAAATAGATTTCGAAGTTGAAGCTATTTTCGGTATTTTGTACAAAAAGAAATTCACTTTCCTGTTTTCTTTTGCTCGTGCCACTTTCTTCTCGGTAAAAATATATTTTTTTTCTATAACAAATTTTGCTCTGCCTTATTTCGTTAATTTATGACAACATATTTTTGACAAAAATGTATTTTTCCCGTTCCTCGGCTTTCATTTCCTCTGCTTCCATCGCTTCCATTGCTTCCATCGCTTCCTCCGATGTCACCGGTGTCTACATTGGAGCTGCGTTGCCACTCTTACACGTACTCGCGCATTTAATTTACTTTGTCAAATAATTTTCGTCATTTGTTGACACTTAAAAGGCTTCTGTTGTAGGTACTCGCCTCTGCGTACTCTTTCACTTGAAGCAGAAGTTTGCCCACTCCATTTTCCCAAACTTTTACTTTCATGTTGTTTTATTAAATTTTATTTCTTTTTTCTTTTTTTTTTTTTTTTTCTGGTAGAAAAGTGCTATTACTTTAATACCAGTCTAGGTTAAAGGTCATTTTTATAGTTCAAACATTTGATGGCTCTGCCAATTTAATAATAGACTCCAAAGCACTTCAAACGAATATATACTCTATCTGTACATCTTTCAATCTGTACTGGTCATAAACAAAAATTAAGTTTAAGAATTTTAAAATCAATTTTACTTATAGAAAAGTTTATAGAATAGTAGTGAATAAGAACAACAAAATTTTATTTATATTTAATTGTTATTAGTTGCCTTTGAAAATATACCCTGGTTTATAAGATTATAAAGTATTGAAATATATAAATGCCAAACTCAACAAATTAGAAGCAGTTAATTCGCGTGTTTTGACCCAATGAACCAAAGCTGGACGAAACCTTGGTTGTTGGAACATCCAACTCTTTGTTACTTTTTTGTGAGTTCTTAGCATATAAAAACCACGCCACCTTTCACGTGAGATAAAATGATGAGTTTCTTATAACAGTGGTAATAGTAATAGTAGTATTATTATTGAAAAGAAGGGATCGTGCATTGCGATCTAAACGATCTATTATGCCCCTTAGTCGGATTAGAGTGTATCTCCAAGTTCGATTTCTTTAATGGAAGACAGTATAGAACCTATCTTTCCTAGTCTTGAACTCTTAACATATGATCCATAAGTAGTAGTAGTAGTAGTAGTAGTAGTAATTCCGTATTGGAGTCTAAAATTATTAACACTTGATATATAAAAC